AATGCCCCCCGATAGGATGCATCTACCATTTGTCTGTATTGATTGGCCAAACCTTCATAGAAGGCTTGGACAATTTACCACTGAGATAGGCCATGGTGTGGGCATTTTCTCATCAACTCTATCATTCTCTCCCAAGACTCGTGAATTTGTTCACCCGGTGTTTGGGTGAATCCAGTGATGGCTCTTCTCATGGTGTTGGTTCGTCCTATATGGTAGAAATTTCTAAGGAATTCTTGTTGCATTTCTGCCCAAGTTCTAATAGGTCTCCCTCTAGTTCCCAACCAATGCTTGGCCTTGTCTTTCAAGGAGAAGGGGAAAAGAGTTAATCTAAGGGCATCATCATTAAAGTTCTGGATCCTTATAGTGGAATAGATTTCCAGAAACTCATCTATGTATTTGTATGGGTCATCACTCTATCTCTGGTATGGGTTTTACTGTTTCTCTCCTTAGAGATCTCCTTCCCAACATAGAACTCAGAAGTCCTTTTTTCTTTCTTTTGAAATATGAAATTTAAATTTTGAATTTTAATTTCAAATTTAGATTTTGAAATTCAAACTCAAATTTGATTTTTTTTTCAATTTTTGATTTTCTATTTTATTTTGAAATTTGAAATTTAAATTCAAATTCAGATTTTGAAATTTAAATTCAAATTTGAATTTTTAAATTTTAACAAAAAATGCAAGAAATTCAAACACACAACTTGCGAGCTGACCTAAGGTTTCCTAAACTAGTGGTTCAACCAATGTGAATCCTCTTAGGTTCACTTGAAATTACACCACTTCCTTTGGTTAGCCAAGTAAGAGGTGGGGATGTGGGAGGCTCCCCTTGCTCTCTTAAGGACCTAATTAAGAAACCACAAAACCTGCTTAGGCTTAGCCGTTTAACCTCTTTTCTTTGACACCAACCGCTAGTTATGGAAAGTAATCACAAGTTTCCCTAAGATTCAGCACACTTTTGAACCAAATGTGAGGCTCCCTAAAGGATCTTCCTATCCAAATTTTAAATTAGGGTTTAGGGTGAACCACACGTGAAGGGTGGTGATCTTTGGGCCAAGGAAGGGTGATGAAATCCCCACCTTATCTTATTTAAGTTTGATGCCCTTAAATGGGCTAACAAAAAACAAAATAAACAAAATAAATGCAACTAATTACAATGCATGAACAATTATTTCTAATATGCAATTCAACAATTTAACATAAAATAACAAAATAAACTAAGCAAAAGAAGCAACTAAAATAATAATAAAAAAGAAAACCTAACACTTTCACAACTAACAAGATAATTTCAACAATTAAATGATCCAATATGATGCATGCTTTAGCATATCAAACCCTAAATGTTGGAATGCAAATGCAAAAATTTTAAAATATAAATTAAAATTTTTGAATTACTTTTTTGAAATTCCAAATTTGAAATTTAAATTCAAATTCAAATTCAAGTTCAGATTCAAATTAAAATTAAAATTTAAATTCAAATTTTGAAATTTAAACTCAAATTCAAAAAATTGAATAATTTCCTATTAACAATTAATTATTCAATTAAATAACTAATTAAAAAGAAATTAATAAAGCAACAAATAATTACAGCAAACAGAAAATAAAAGGATTAATTCACTACAAAAATAAATTCTAACAAGAAAAATCGCTACTCAAAGGATTAAACAAAAAATAAATAAATAAGAAGATTATGCTGCAAAAATAAAATTAAATAAACGAAGTGAATTTAAAAAAAAAAACTAACCTAATAAAACAGAAATTCACTCAAGAAATTAAAATAAAGAAAAAAATAGATTTAAACATCTAAGAAAAATAATAAAATAAATCGGATCTATATAAAAAAATTAACTGCAAATTAAAAAATCACTATTTTACCAAAACAAAAAGAATTCGACAATAAAAAAAATAAACAAAAATAAAATGGGACGACTACACCGGAAACACAATTCAATTTCTCTTCTCTTTTCTTTTCTTCCGTAGTCTGATAATGCTCCGGTACCCCACCTTTCGCTATTACATCCTGCAAAATCAAAGATAAACAAGAATTAAAATGAGACTACAAATCAAGTAATCAAACGAAAATAAAAAAAATAATGAAATAGATCCGGTCATAGCAAATAAAAAATTTTCTCCGTTGCGTCCCCAACAACGACACCAAAAACTTGGTGTGTCCGGAAGCGTGTCGTTAACTACTTCGGAACACCAGTTTTAATATTTGTAAGTTTCTTCGTTTCTCATAACAATTACAAACACAGTAAATGGTGAGAATGGGTCATATCCACAGGGAAGTGAGGGAAAAATCATTACAAACTTTAATCCAGATAAAAGAACACAAAGGGAAGTTGCAGAATCACAAAATTTTAATTGATTAAATTGAAATTCATTAAAAAAAAATTCGAACATTGTTGAAAGTGAAAAGTGCATAAAAATAAATAAATATAAGAAATTAAATAAAAATAGTCTGTAATCCGATCAGAGGTAGCAGTCTCCGGATCTCTCCTTTGACCCTCGAAGGAGAGGGCGCCCAATATTATATAGGGCTGAGATTTGGGTGCCTAGAATTGGATGGTGGAGATTTGGGTGCCTAGGGCTGAAAGGTGGAGATTAAAAAGATTGAGTGGCGGCCTAGAGTGAATGGCTTAGATAGAGAGTGGAATAGAGGGCTGAGATCTAGTGGCTAAAGGCTGAATGGTAAGGATTAGAAGTTAGGTGGCGCCCTAGGGTTAGAATGCTAAAAAGAGAGTGCCCTAGAATGGAGGGTGGAGATTAGATGTTAGGAAGGGATGGAAGGTGATGATTTAACAGTTAGGGGCGGCTAGGGTTTGTTAGAGATGAAAAGAATGAGTGGAGAGGTGCCCTAGGGTTTACTAGGGAGAAGGGAATATGCTAATACAGTAGGAGGGGCGCCATTCTGGGTTTAGCAGATAGGAGGCGCCCTCTTGTGCTCAGTTTTCACAAAAACACCCCTTCTCTCAGCTGGACTTCACACCAACTTCCCAAAAACTAAATTTCAGCTATGAAACTTCCCTAGTTTTCCACAAGATTTTCATAGAGACCCTTAGAGGTCACAATATTGAATTTAACTGAGAAAATGGGGCATTTTGACTATTCTAAGGCCTAAAATACCCCTGAAATGATGCCCTTAAGGCATCAAATTACAAAGTTATCAGTTGTGCCATGTCATGCCTTGCTCATAGGTTGTGCCATGCTTGGCTTGTAGGCCATGCCATGCCACGAGCCAAAATCCCTCGACACAATGCAGGATAGGGCATGTGCCTTTCCTAGCACAACTTGTCATTGTAGATGGCGTGTTGGGCCATGCTGGCTCACGAGTAGCCTAATCCGTTTTACACCTCTACTTGCAAGAATCCTATATTGGTGTTGTTTGTCTCATTGAAGATATGAGGAGAAAAATCCATAATTGATCATTAGGTGTAGATTGCATAATTTGATGAAGACAAATAGAATGAAGCAATAAAAATGACATTACAAAAAAAAATAATAGACATGTGGAGGGCCTTCTCCATCTATAGGAATGACAACAGGGTGAGTTTGGGGAAGGCACCCCCTTCCCATCTCTACCCGTAATCAAGATGCTCTACCCCTCCCTGCCCCATCTTTGGTGGTTGGGTGGGTTTGTAGTAGGGCACCCACTTTCATTGGGGACGGGGAATCCATGTATTTTCCCCACCTGAGACAACCACCTAAAAATAATCTAATTGATGGATAATTCACAAATAGGATTATGAGAATTTAGGGGTATTTTAGGAATTGAATTATAACAATTTGGGATACTTTGAAAATGAAATTATGAGATCCTAAGATTTTAAGAATTTAGAGAAACCTTAGAGATATTTTAAAAATTATTATTAAATTTAAAATATTTTATTAATTTACCATTAGATTCAAGGCAGGTTCCGAAAATTATATACAAACCCCATTCCTACCTTCCTCACCCGCAAAAATATTTTTCCCATCCCCAACATTATTTCATTTAATATCAGAAAAACCCGCCCCGTTGAGAATGAGTCCCGAGTTTTATGGGAAAATTGCCATCCCCTATCCACCTATCATATGCATCAATACCTTCAAAAATTGATTCAAATAAATGTTAAGCGGATACTATTCTTACCGTGGGCATGTCTCCTTGTGGGTCCCATTTGACTAAAAGAGCATTTTTTTGGTAAATCTGCTTGGCACGTGATGAAACCAGATTCCCTCCTACTAAGCGCACGCACGCCAGATCATTTGAAACCGCAGATAGGGAATATCTCCGGTACCTGTATATTGTCATTTATGAAGTGCGTTTTGTCATGAGCAATTACGAATGCTGTTGTGATGAGTGGAGACGGTCGTTGGATTGAAAATCGCCGCCTGAATACAAAAAGTGGTAAACCCCATTGACCCGTTTCTATCGGGTTAGGGTCAGGTATAGGGTAAATCCACCTTGACCAGATCCATTCAGGGCTACGATCGCCACACCCAGCTTTTAATAGGTTTTGGGTTCATTTGGCGGGTTCGGGTTGATGACTTCAGATAAGTTTGGGTTAGTCAAAACCCGACACATTGACATCCCTAGTTTGATTTGATTTCGAGTTTGGATTGAGACAAACGCATAACAAACCTGATCTGTTAACACTGTAGCATTGAACCCGACCGTTGACATCCGTTTGGCCGAAGCTTCCAGAATTCCAGGCCTATTTTTCCAGTACGAATTATCTAACATGACATGATGATGATAATAAAAGGTGGGGTATGGTGTTGAGTAGATTCTAATCTGACGTCACAAAAGTCTCCTGGTGTGGGCCATGTAATCAAATCAATAACACAAGATAAAGTCACGCGTAATATAATACAAGGATGATTTGATTTGAGCGCATCCTAAGTTTTGATAAACCGGGAACATCCCTGAGGAAAAAGACAAATGAACCACTAACTAGGTGCGGTCTTATCAAAACTGGGATGCGCCCAAATCACTTTTGTTAAACGCTTAATTAGGTGTCCATTAGGAAATTTGGTTGAACGGTCCGGAGGTTTTCCGTTTAATTCTTGTTGAAAACTTCGTCGCAAGGAAGAAGAAGACTTGTCAGAGGGGAATTCGATTAAAATTAAATTTTAGGGTTTCTATCCAGTTGAGACAGGGATTGCTTGCACAAAAATTTTAGAATTTTGGTTGCTAAAATCTCCAGAGGTCGTTAGGGTTTTGTTCGAATTACCGAATTCCAGAGTTCTGTTTGAGGATTTTGGTTCTCTATTTCGTAAAGTCGGTATTTTTTTCTGATTCATAGAGGTAATCCTATAACCGCTGTCGTTGCTGAATTGGTCTGTTTGATTCTCATTATTAGAAATCGTAATTACCGTTTTTACGATAATCTTCAGTTCTGTCGACATTTTGGGCTCTATTCTATAATTCTGATACTGATCTTGTAAAACCTGGGTAAAATTTATGTTTTGTGAAGTTTAATATGAAAATTTGAATTTTTATTGAATGCTTGATTCTTTTCTGTAGTTTAATTGTGTCTGTAATCGATGAAAATTTCTGCAGCAGAAACATTCATAAAAAGATTTCTGCAGCAGAAACATTCATAAAAAGATTTCTGCAGCAGAAACATTCATAAAAAAAATTCTGCATCAGAAATATGGTTATTTACATGTACTGAGATTAATTGGTATTAGAGAAGTAGGGAGAGGGCTGAAGAAAGAAGAAAGAAATTCTCTTTTCACATTAGTTTTTTCTTCTTGTGACATTCAAGAATTGGAGAGACTGATAGAGCAAGGATGATTGGTTTAGTTACAAGGACGGGCAACTACTAGAGATTGTCAAAATGTTTCGTTAGTGACGAATGACACAATTTGCAGGGCAGTTGCCAAATCTATTCTTCCAAAACTTGCGAAGCATTCTTAATTACTTTACACACATACTCTCATTAATAGCTTTCTGTTTTCTCATTCCTCATCAACTCAACATATCTATAATATTTATTTCTACTTATTGTGTATGGAGCATCGGACACTTTCTTTTTCCCCAGTCATGCAAGGTGGTGTTGTATCTGGAAGAACTGCCATGAGACACATTCTTACAAGTTTTGCTTATCTAAAAAGTACAACACATCCACCTGAAATTAGTATTTGCCATTGTCTTTCTTAAATGAAATAGTTAAATCAACTAAAAGAAGGATGGCACAAGGAAAATCAAGCTCAAAGGATTGAAGTATTTGAAAAACCTCTCATCTAAATGTGGAAATGATACACCATCTTTAAATTGATCAAATAGGGTGATCACAAGTTGTGCATTACTTGTATATAATCCTTTCAGATAAATCCTCAGTGAAAGGGTAAATCCAGAGACTCAAGTCACCTTTTTACTCAAGGCAAATATGAGACCTAAGCACTAGAAATAACTTATGTAGGTACTAATGCAGAAGTGTTTTTCCAAGTTAAAAGTAAACAAATACAACAAAACCTGGTATTAGTACAAGTTTTGGGGTTTTAGTCTGTAATTTTTATTAGCAACTGAAACATAGGGTTCATTGATTTAAAAGATGTGGAAACGGTACAAGAACTAACATGGCTGTCTATCTTCCATAAGATAAGATGAGGGAAAACAGAAAGAATGAACAAAACAGAAGTTACTGTCACAGAATTTCCGAAAAATACAAGATTGCTGATAACTTGTGTTGACCAATCCTGGTATATTCCATTGGAGGTTGCCTCTATAACCCACTTTACATGCCAGACCATCAGCTAAGGGGTTGGCTGACCTTGGCACCCACATGAGCTGTTCAGGCTATCTGGTCCTTCTGCTTGATATTCCATCCAGCTTATCACAATTTGAGAGTTTACTTCCACAAAAATTCCCTTCCATCCTGTTTGAATGTCCCACCTTTGGTTCATGTTGTGGAGATGGGATTGCAGCCCTAAGGGAGGGCCCTTCCTCAGTAGGGCTAGGGCCAGAGTAATGTACCAAAAAAGCTGAAGTGCTGTCTCTAAAAGCTTCTCCACACCTGAAGGGCTGGAATTTCCAACAGAGCATCCATTGAAATTTAATTTTATTCTATCTTGATATGGAGGCTGCCATTCCTTCTTTATGTTGTGATTTGTGAGTGAGGAGAGAAACCAGTCACAACTTCCCTATCCAGAATAATAGAGTATATCTGTATTCCATTGAATTCTTTATGTCATCATCCAGTGAGCCATATGAATTATGGTCAGTTCAATGGCTGTTGGTGGTTCCAATTTCTTATTATTGAAAATTCTTGCATTCCTTTCTTCCTAAATGCTTGAAAGCACAACTTCCGTTGTGCACCTCCAACTATATTTTCTTCCTTTCGTGGGTGAGGAAAGAAAGGTAGTGGACAAAAGATCCAACTATTTTTTTTGGAAGAGTACAAATAAAATTTTATTAAAAAAAAAGAAACAAAGTACAAGCGAACCAAGGTGTTAGGATAACACTCAAATATTCAAAAGTAATGACCAAAATCCAACAGCCATATTTGAAGTAGAAAATAACGCAGTTGTTTAAATTTACATCTTCCTTAATCATCTCCTTCAAACAGTTCTTCATTCCCATCACCTTCCTCATTCCATGCCTCATCTCCTTCCCTTGCTACAGAATTCTTCAACCTTTCTTCCCTTTTACTTCTTTCAAATAATTGAAAGGCCCTTCTAGCTAACTCTTCTCCACCCGAAAAGAACAATCCTAAGCTCCTGTTGACTTTAGCACTATTGTCTGCCAAATCTTCAATCCTCACTTTGCCTTCCTTATTCTCGCAAACTGATTGAGACTTCTTAGAATTCCTCTCTAAGTCTCAGGTTCTCTCCTTCTGCTTATCCTTTGACCTAGATTGCCTTTCCAAACCATCTCCAAGAGAATCCAACATCTGCACCTTCTCCCCATCAGAATCATGAAATTCTTCTCCTTGCCCCTCTAACACCTTCTTCTTCAAACTTTGGTTTTTGATCCTTTTTTCTTATAAACTCTCTTGTGTTTATTCGTCAGACCAGTCCCAATCAAACCATCTTTTGACCTTGAGGAAACTTTTGATACATGAACAATATGGGACTTACTTGAGTCTCGCGCTATCTTAACTGTCTCTGAAGTAACAGCCACACCATCCTTACTCTCTGTTTTTCTTCTTTGCCTAGATCAACTCCAAGACCAAGCCTGCCAACCGTGACTTCAAAATTTGAGTATTTCTTGTCTCCTCCAGAAAACCTGTCCTCCCCTTCTTTTCCAAACTCTTCCTTGGAAGTCGGAACAAACCGCCTCCATATTCTTGACTTCACTCCCATTGAGTTTCTCCCCTCCTATAGTGAAGCATTCTTGTTGGCATACTATTGATCGCATAAGTAGCAAGAAGCACAGTATCCATCCAAAAAGACTTAGGAACATTTATTTGTAATATCATCCCAATAGCCACTTTGAGAAGGTGATGGTTTTTTAATTCTGCAATATCATTTTGCTGTGGAGTTTTAGCACACAAATTCAGTGAAGGGAACCATGAGAAGCAAAAAACTCATTGAGATCACCATGGAAACATTCTTTGCATTATCTAACTGAAATATTTGAACCTCCATATGAAATTGAGTAAACATCGTCTGTTGGAAAACCTTCACAATTTTTTGAACTTCTTCTCTGAAGTGTATAGGGAAAATCCAAGTATAGCATGAACAATCCATCAATCAAGCTAATAAAATATCTGTAACCATTTTTAGATGATATAGTAGTAGGCATGTTCTACAGTGTTTTCTTAGTTAACATGTTTGACATTCAAGATTCGACATTAAAAAAGACTTAGGGTCCATTTGGTTTATGGGAACTGGGGTCTAAAATTGGAATAGTCCATTCCGATTCCAATTGTTTGGTTGGGAAGAATCGGAATCTCATTACCATTGCTAGTCCATTTGGAATGGCATTCCGTCATTTGAGGGAATGGCCATTCGCCCCCTCCCTTGGGAATGAGAATCCATTCCAACCAATTCTGATTCCAACTCCAATTCCCATTTGAACCAAATAGGCGGGAGGAATAGACCATTCCGATTTTGATTCCGATGGATTTTGACTACGAACCAAATGGACCCTTAAACAAAGCAGGAAACAAATACTTTAATGGCTCAAATAACATGTGATCAAGACAACTATGCCATAGAAATACTGGAGTTTTGTGTGATTGACTCAACTAATTATTTGACTCTGATGTTGATGTCGCGAATTCAGCCTTATTCTTAAGGATGTAAAGACCATCCACCATATTTCTTCTACCAACCATCTTCTCAGATGTTAAATCTTGAAAAACACAAGAACAGGGGAAGAATGTTACACTACAATTCAAGGAATGAGTGATACTACTGGTAGATAGTAAGTTAAGAGGAAGCTTTGGAACATGCAAAACATTTGTAAGGGCAAGGCTATAAAGAAGGGAATACCGATTCCTGACTTGCAATGGTGGAGAATGATCCATCTGCAATTATCATTTTATCCCTTTTAGACAAAAGGCTATAAGACTGAAACAAATTTGGCTTATTGGTCATGTGGTAGAAGGCCTTTGAATCAATAATCCAAGGGGATTCAGGAGCATGTGTGGAAACATGGAAAGCAGAGGTAGCATTCCCTGATATAGATGCCAATGAAGTAGAGGGAGCACTAGCTTGACAATCCATCTAACACAAGGCCCTACCATATGATTCTAGGTGGTCATGGAAGGAATTAATGAAATCCTTTTTAGGGTTTGAACCAGTATGTTGCTCTTGAGTTGTGCCAGTAGTCACATTGTTACTCTGACTGTTTGAGAATCATGAGCTGCCACATTTCTTGTATTCTACTTCTTTTGTCTTTGCATTTTATTTTGTTCTTGATTCTTGATTGCCCACTTTGGCTTCCTAACAACATCCCAGTAGGTCTCACATGTATGTCTAGGATGACAATGGGTACACCATAGTCTGTCCTTGTCATCACCTTTCTTGGAGTCACCTTTATTCATCACCCCATTGCCACCCTTTACAGATAATGCCAATCTGCTGCTCCCCCTCAGTTGTAACCACCACATTTTGTCTACTTTCCTAGATTGGACTAGGGTAGTACATACCTCCTGGATCGAAGGTAGATCACTGCATCCCAAAATCTAATGAAATGGCTACCAACTAATTAATCTCCTGTTCCCAAAATCTATTCTCTTTGTCTTGGTTGTGATGAGACGGCTACCCTCTTATTAATCTCCTGTTCGGGTTGGGTCTCTTCTCTTTTTGGGTGCAGATGGACACTCCCCTCTAGTGTTACAGGTTGTAGTATGTTTCTTCAGTCAGCCAAAGAAAGGAGGTAGAACCATGTGGAGAGGTACAATACAAGAGCAGCAATTTTGTGGGCAATTTGGGAGGAAAGGAATAATAATATCTTTCAAGAGTGGGGCAGATCAAAGGAAGAATTAATTGACACCAAAGACTTCTCCTTTTACCTTTTCAAAGACTTCTTAGGAGGAATAGGAGTGAAGTAGTGGCGTCCTCAAGGGCCACTCTCAGGGACATTTGGTCCCCTCCTACAAGCCAAATTTACAAGCTCTTTGATGGGAGTTCACAAGGCAATTTGGGTCCTCTGGGAATAGGTGGAATGATAAGAAATAGGGAAGGGAAGGCTGTGGCTTTATGCTTTGGGCCTATAGGAGAAGGCAACTCCTTGAGAGCTGAAGTGCTATCCTTATTACAAGGGCTGAAATTGGCCAGACAGTTGTGCCTTCAGCCAATTGAAGTCGAAGGACACTCCAAATTGGTTATAGGGTGGGTTCAAACAGGTAGCATGGGGATTTGGATTCACAAACAAGCTTTGAGGGAAATTAGATGTCTTTCAAGGGTTTTGACTATTTCTGTTTGATGGGTGAGAAGATCAGCAAACAGTATGGCTGATTCTTTAGCCAAACAAGAGGTTAAAGAGGTGAGCTCTTTTGGATTGAATTGTAAGAATCAACTACTTTGGGGGTTTGAGGGTCAGTTCCCTTACCTTGGGACCTGAACCTTTGTTCATTTTCTTTAAATTTTGATTAATGAAAGTTACCGTTTCCTATCAGAAGGAAAAAAAGGTCACTGGAGATATAAAAATCGAGGCTGAAGAAAGAAACACCCCACTTCTAAGTTCTGACACACACAATCACAAGAAAAAGGTATAAACCCTAGGTGTACTAAATTAGACTGCTGAAACATCAACTACACTGGCTGCATAGCCCAAAAACATCAAGCCCTAGTCATCACCAGTCCACACAACACATATGGCAATGAAGAGCCACAGATACCTATCAAAAAAGGGATAACACGAACCTTTACAGCACAGAGAGAAGGCACCCACCTCACCTTTGACAGCATTCTTCTGTCACCAAATAATACTCTTCTTGGTGCTACATCCACGAAAAAAAGGATAAAAGAGAGAAAACTGTTGTTCAGACCAAAAAAGGAAGTTCTAGGTAAGAAAAACTTGATCTGAATGTTATGGCTGTCATTGGAAGGAGTGCAAAAGGCAAAGGAAATGGATGTTAGGAAGTTGATTATTGAAGGTGACTCAAAGCTAGTAGTGGAATAGTTGCAAAAGGAAGGCAAGGGTTTCTGGATGTACAGCAACGAGAAAAAAAGATTTAAATGTCTGACTAAAGATATGGAAGTGCAATTCAGCTGGGTTAAAAGGACTGCAAATGCTTTAGCTGATGTTTTAGCTAAACAAGGGGTGGGAAGGAATCATTTGTTTTGGGATCAATTGTAATTGCATAGTTGTTACTCGGTAAGACAGTTTTCCTCTCCCAATCTTGTAATTATTCTTTTATAAAGTTAATGAATTTCAGTTATTGATCGAAAAAAAACACTTGATCTGAATGCTTCTACTGCCTATAAATATCCTCTGATACCATATTATCTAATGAGAAATAATGAGAATAATAGAGAAGGTGGAGAGGAAGAGAGAAGAGGAGAGAGATTAGAGAGCCGAAAATCTAGGCTGGCGACACCTAGAGCTTTATTTATAATAGGGCAACAGCTAATATAAAATAAAATTATGATAGTACTCCTGTGGCACAATCTACGAGAAAAATACCTCACGCCCTTATTATTTGGTGGTCTTGGTGTTTGCTATCTAATAATATCCAAGATTGTGTTGCTATTTGGTGCCTGCTATCCAAAATTCTGGTTGCTTGATGGTTTATTCACTGAATTGTTGACATTTCAGGAATGCAGAGCCAGCTTGTGTGCAATGGCTGTAGGAGCGTTCTCCTTTATCCAAGAGGAGCTACAAATGTCTGCTGTGCAATATGCAGCACAGTTACCTCAGTCCCACCTCCTGGTATCCCTCTTCCCCCTCTGTTTTCCTCTTTATTAAGAACTAGAACTTTTTTTTTTCTATTTAAAGGTAAAGTGTAGTATTTCATTAATGTATGGAGGAGTACCTGTGCAATTTGAACAAATAGTTAAACATTTCTGTTTACAAAAAGAGATTCTCTATCAAAAAAAAAAAAAATAAAAGAGCTATAAGGTATTCCTTGAAAGGGTTTGAGGATTCTGAGCCATGAACAGGGTACCTGTGAATCTGACTTCCTCTTCTGATTTGGATTGCCCTTCAATGACTTTTTTGTTTCTTTCAGTCCATAGAATCCAAATAATTGCGGCAGGACACATTTTCCATAATAATTTGCCCCTTTTACTTAGCCCTCAGAGGTACCAACCACTGAATAAAGCCCGAGCAGATTCTTGGAAGCATCCTACCACCCCAAAACACTTCAAAACATCCAGCCATAGAGAACTAGGGAATTTGTAGTGCAGAAGTGATGATTTACAGATTTGTTCTCCTTAGAGTAAGTTCACAAATGGGATTGTTTATTGGAACCCCTCTTTTTAACAGATTGTCCAGGCTAAAAGAGCCACTTTAAAAGGCATCTTTAGCACCCAAATTTTACTAGCCGGGTAGGAATCTGCAGACTCAGAATTCAGGTGCTTGAACATGAATTTTACTGAGAACAATCCATATCTGTCCCACTTCCTTACCCATTTGTCCATCTGATCCATATTTGGGAATATGCCCTGTAGTTTATGCAGCATGTCTGAGAATAGAGGGATCTCCTAATCATTGAGTTTCCTTCTAAATCTGGGGCACCATACAGGTTATTATGAAGTTCAAAGCAATCACATGCCAAGACTTCTTTTGGGCAATTTCATAAAGTAGTGAATAGAAGACCGTTAACATTATGATTTCTTCAAGCTAAATTTTGATGGTAGTTGTTTTGGCAACCCGGGTGCTGCTGGAATGGGAGGGGTAATAAGAAATGACAAAGGAGACTTGTACTCTGGACCTTTAGGGGAAGGGGATTCCACAGTTGCAGAGTTGAGGGCAGCCGTGTTTGGAGTTCAAAAAGCATGGGAGATTGGAATCAGAAAGTTGGTGATCGAAGGAGATTCAAAAGTGATCATAAGCTGGCTGAAGCGAGAGGACAAGATCCCATGGGAGATTGGGTTCAACTGTTACTTTCCTTTTCCAAAGGATTCTGAAATTTAATTAGTGGAATTTAATGATGAGAAACAGAAATACCTTAAAAGGATTCAATGAGAGAGAATGGGAATGTGCTGGTCATTCTATCATTGAAACGATTGTGGTTCAGAAAAGTTAAACTCAAAATTAAATATTTCCAACTTATCTGTTGCCATGATACTCCTTTTTGAGTATTTAGAACGCTAGGGCTGAAATTCAAATTCTACGGATGCATTTGGCTTGCAGGAAAGTAAGGGATAAAAGGGAATGTTCTTATTCTTTTTCCCCACATTTAGTTTCTGAGATGTTATGAGATAAGATTGTAGTCTCAATTTTTGGGAATTGGGTCTCACCATTTTGGTGTGAAAAAATGGGAAGGAGGGGAACACTTATTTGACAAAAACTATCAATATAAAAAGAAAAGAACTTTTATTCTTGTTGGGGCTGACATTCCCATTGTTTCCTTGTGCAAGCAAACAGTGGAGCATGAAAAGAACTTTCAATTCAGTCCAAATCCTAAGTACCATCACTATGCCATATCAGGACCTGTTGTAAGGCCTTCTTTTTAGAATAAGTCTTCAAGGGTGCTGATTGATTCCTATCATCTCTACCTGGCTTGAAAGAACTCGACCCCGACGAGTTAAAAGCATGAAAGTCTTCACCAGTGATCCAAGAACTCTCAGACATAGGCTTGCCTTTCCACTTGACAAGGAATTTCTGATACCCTCTTGTAGCAGTAGGTATTATTTCCTCATCTAAAACATCTTCTAGAATATCATTTGGAGCTGCAATAGTTGGCAATTTAGGTATAGGAATCTTAAAAGAATCCACATGTCCATGATAAGGAGTCAAGTCCTTAACATTGAAGATAGGACTAATTCCCATGTCATCTGGCAACTCTAGAACATAGGCATTAGAACTTATCTTCTTGATGACTTTGTAAGGATCGACACTCTTTGAGTGGAACTTCTTGTACACACCTTTAGGAAGATGTTCTGGCCGTATACGTACCATAACCATGCCTCCCTCTTGATAATTTGCCAACCATCGACGAATATCAGCTCTAGCCTTGTATAAATCATTGCTCAATGCAATTTTTCTCTTAAAATCATCATGTATTTCTCTTATGTGCCTAGAAAATGCTTCTGCTTCAATGCTAGTTCGTGTATCTGGTGGTAAGGTAACTAAGTCAATTGGCCGCTTAGGCTGAATACCAGTCACCACTTCAAATGGACTTCTTCCTGTGGATCTATTTACTGAGCTGTTATAAGCAAACTCAGCTATTGGAAGCACTAGATCCCATCTAGAAGTATGATCACCAACTAGACACTGTAAAAGATCTCCCAAGCTTCTATTTACTACCTCAGTTTGACCATCTGTTTTGGGGTGAAACGATGTAGAGAATTTCAGCTAAGTATTGAGTAGTTTCCAAAGCGTCTTCCAAAAATAACACATAAACTTGGTGTCCCGATCTGATACAATAATAGAAGGTACTCCATGAACTCGAACCACTTCTTTTAAAAATATAGTAGCAATATGTGAAGCATCATGTGTTTTGTTGCAAGGTAAGAAATGAGCCATCTTGGAGAAATGATCCACCACAACATAGATTGTATTGTGACTTGGGCCGGGCTTGCACTTATGATAAGGGCTTTGCACTTATGTAGGACCAGCTCAGTTCTAGACTTCTAGTCCTTAGGGAATGTTGAATGGTCTTCTTGATCAGAGTTTTATGGCTGTAATGGCTTCTTGAAGGAATAAGGGAGAAAATAGGGAGAGAAAGAGGAGTGAAAAATACCTGGAATCACTCACAGGGTGCCTAGAATCACTCAAGGGCATGGGAATCACTCACCATAGCTAGCATAAGCTGAAGGAAACTCAATGTAATTCATTGCCTTTGTATAAAACGTCCATACATATTTATAGACTCTAAACTCATAATAATCTTAGGAGTCAAACTGTTAGACTCATAATAGTCTTAGGAGTCAAACTGTTAGACTCAATAATCCTAGTAGGACTCAAACTAAGTTGTCATATCCTATTTCAATTTAAAGAAGACTCAAACACTCTAATCTTATGCAATGTGTAGATACATAGTGGTCACTTGGACCATCAGAGCATAGGGGGCGTCGAATTGATACCACACAGATGCCTGTGATGAGTCCATAACTCATCGCACGTCTGTTATGAGTTATGATCGCATGTTTGTAATGAACTTGTGCCCGAAATGAGTTGCAATGAACTTTGGCCTGCCTAAATTTGCGATGAGTTTTAGACACGCATAGACTTGCGATAAGTTCAGACATGCACGGACCCGCAATGAGTTTTGGACGCGTGTGAATCTGTGATGAGCTCAAAGCCATCGTAGACCCACGACAAATGTGGAATTACTGTAGACCCGAAATAAATATTAGAAACACATGCGTCTTTAAATCACGCGCGTGATGGGACGCTCTGTAGGCCTAATAAGGGCACGACGACTAAGTAATGACGTCACCCACGCCACGTCGGTTAAAAGGGTCACAAAAGGAAGTAGCACACGCGGATTATGAGAATCCTTGGACGAAAGGAAAGTTCGTCCTTGGGATATCTCATAAGACATGTGGTGAAACCCTAGCAGTGAACAGCGAATCCGAGATTCCCTTTCCTAGTGGGAATCAAACACTTTTGGTTCCTTCCTTTCGGGACCTCGGGATCTCTCCCTATAAATAGGGGTCCATCTCATAATGAAATCATCATTCTATCATTCTCATTTGCCCTAGCCTTTAGCCTACCTCCTACACCTGGTCTTCCTTTGTCCTTCAAGGAAACCTCCGTACGTAGCCTCACCACCACACTCAACAATGACTCTGAATTTTTAAACAAACTATAACTAGACAATTTAAACCCTATCATTGGACCCCCACAGAAAATTGCAAAAATGACAAAAATACCCTTGGTGTTCAATTCAGTCCAAATCCCAAGTACCATTGCTATGCCATATCAGGACCTGTTGTAAGGCCTTCTTCTTTCTGGAATAAGTCTTCAAGGGTGCTGATCGAATCCTATCACAGGGGTACAATTATAATTTTTCAGAGTGATTGGTTCTAGTTATGATGCATTCCTTTTTTAGTGTTTTCACCTTTTTTCTTTCTCCTTTTTTGAAGAAGTTAAGATACATTTCATTGATTGAGATAAATTACAAAGGGAGCATGGAGAGAAGCCCCTTAACAATTAAGCTCTCCCCAGCAATACAAGTAGAGTCACAAGTCCCACACACTCTTAGAATGCAAAAACTGCTTCATAGAATCGTGATGGAACCCCTTCCAGGCAGAGGTCCAAGAAGATAACCTCCCAACAACTTGCTGAACCAGCTCCTCATCTCTTCTGACCTTGTTTCTGAAGATCCTTCTATTCTTCTGAGACCAAATTGTCCATATTATAGCCACAGGCAGCATCTCTCACAAGGCTTTACCTGACTGCTTGATGCACTAATTGGCCAAGCCGTCAACAGCTTCTTGAGAGATATAGGCATTATCCGATTCAGGTTGGCTGTCTTGGTAAAGTGCCCCTGTCCTCAAGAGCTCCCTAGCTGCTTGACAGTGACTGAAAATGTGTTCAGCACTTTCTAGGTGTTACCTACATATGTCCCTCCCACCGCATTGCCGGGAGCCTCGTGCAATGGGCTTCCCTTTATTTTCTGGGTGCTGCCTGCAGAACAAACAGTTCAAATCTTGGATCTGAAGCCCTCTTCTAACTAAACTGTCTCTGGTTAGATATTTACCCAGAGAAACAGTCCATACCAGGAAATTAATTTTATATGGAACCTAGGACTTCCACAC